GCGTGCAAATCAGTAAGTAAATCCATGTCAGAAGTGAGCAACAAGAAATGCAATTGTCTTCGGTTGGCTGCATGGCAACTGAATTGTAGCTACCCTGGGTATACCTGGCAACTGCCTTGTAGCTGCCCTGGGTCCGCGCGCGCGCCTAAATCACAGGCAGCCGGGAGCCCGCAAGGCGCGCGCGCGCGGAGCAGGGTAGGGAAATTGAAGTGGGATACCTGGCAACAGAATTGTAGCTACCCTGGGTCCGTATGAATGCTATGTTGTTATACCTCTTACACACCTATATAAGTTCAAGCAAAGGGAACCTGAAGTACTATACCTGGTAGCTGAATTGTAGTTACCCTGGGTATCTATACCTGCACCGGCTGAGTAAGAAGGGGGGTTCGGGGGGTGGCCTGATAAAACACACTCGAAAGTAAAAACGCCGGCTTTCGTTTTGCAGTTTCTCAGGTTGTTATGTTAGTTATGTTTGATCTTTGTATTTGACAATCCTTCATGCTTGATCACGCACACACGTACTTATATATATATATAATATATATATATTTTTGATATAGATAGATAGATATAACCCATATATATATGTATACACTTATGGTACCCCTTGGTACTTTGGATTTTGGGAAATGAAATGCTCTGCAGAACTACCAGGGGTGAAGGTACCAAACATCATTCCCTTGAGTACAGTCTTGTTTTCTATATCCAATTTGATTCGGGATGTCATTAACTATATATTTTCTATTTTACATATAGAGAGAAACAGACAGAGAGAGGGGGAGAGAGAGAGAGAGAGGGAGAGAGCGCCGGCAGTTGTGAGGATTTGCTATCACCAAATGATCACTTTTATGTGAATGTTACACCTCATTGTGACATGTTTATTTGCGTGTAGTCTTTGGCTTGCAGTAGAGCCCGTTATGGACAGTATATATATATATGTGTGTGTGTGTATCTTCAGATCTGTAAATGCAGAGCGAGGCTGTGAAGGGTTGATTTGAGGGAAAAGACCAGTAGCGGCTGCTGGACGCTGCCATCGTCTTCGTCCCAGACGCTGCCTTCGTCTTCGCCTCTAGTTCTCTTGGTGTGCTTGGCACATGCGCCAGGCACGGACGCCTCAAGTTCCCAGACTTCCAAAAGTTCATTTTGAAGGTGGGCCGGGCGCGATCCAACGCGGACGAAGGAATTGCAGAAGCAATTGATGCTGTTTAGTACCAAGACGGCGATAGAGCAGCCGTTTAGTTGCACTTGTTTACTGTAATTACCGTGTTCAAAGTTTTGTATTGAGCTTTCGGTTTGAGGGGAAGTGACATGATATACTTCACTGACCAGTGCACAACGAACTTCGTGAAGAAACACTTTAAAAAGACCTTGTCGTTTGTGTTTTGAATGGGGACCGAAACTTCAAAAGCTTTCTGCACTGACAATCGTCCCATCCGTTTTAGGTGTTGATTCTATCAGGATGCCTTCAGTGGCATTGTTTAGTCATGGCTCACTTGGGTTGACCACCACGGCCGTGCGCCGTGGTGCAGATCATGCGACCTCCACCATCCTCCAATGAGCTCCTTGCGTTTTGGCGTGAGGCGTGGCCGAGTGGGATTTTTCTCCCTGCCACAAACATGGAAGCGGACAATCCCCTGTTTGTAGAGGAAATGGGCCTTTCCACAGGCCATTTTCCACCTCCATCATGGCGGGTAAACCAAACGAAACTGTATTGGTAGATGATTGTCGAGAGGTTGGACTGATGGACTCCAGCCTCCATCTGGCTGATGTAGCTCCTGCAGCTATTCAGCCCCTGCCTGCCAAAAAATTGATGTTTGAAGTCACGAGGAGGCAAAAAGGAGGATCACAGATTTACACAGAATAAACCATTTTCTATGATCTCAATGAATGTCGACCAATTACTGCTTCCAGGCCAGGCGCATAACAAGCAGAAGCCAATGCTTAATGACAAGGGACCAACATGGACCAAGTGATACTGGAGCGCAGAATGCCAAGGGCAGGGGAAACCACAAGGTGTGTGGTGCACGCAGTTAATGCAACAGCAGAGGCAATGAAAGATCACGAAAGGTAGCCTGGTAAGGACTACCTTGAGTTTGCTTTGCGAAGCAAAGGGATTGGCTTGAGAGCTTGCTCGGGACTAAAGATTGGTAGTTCAATGTCTAACACCCCCCCCCTGAAATGTAGAGGTCTACTTGTACAGGTTCCACTCCAGTGGCCTATCTAGTGTGTCCATGCTTGACTGCCATAAGGCTCAAGACAAGAGGATAAGACTCTGCGCGTAAAAGACACTAGCGGTCTGCACCTCAACCGTGTACGCCCTAGTCACTCTTTCAGTGGCAGCGGAGCAGTGATCCTGGAAGACGCAGGTGAGCTCCTTTCCTAGGCATAGACTTGCTTGTAGGCAACCGGCCATGGATTGGATTGACGACTGGGAAGAGCCTGATGCGGATGTGGCTTATGAGCCAGCAGCCTATGTGAATAGGCATGTGAGAAGAGAACCAGCAGCTATAGCAATGACAACACAGGTCACTACAAAGGTGCCCCCATCTTATGATGGAAAGACTTCATGGTTTTCCTATGAGGATGCCATAGACGATTGGTGTGATATCACCGAGCTGGAGGATGAGAAGAGAGGACCAGCTTTGAGAAACAGATTAGAAGGAGAAGCAGCCGTATACAAACGTGTATTAGACAGAGATGCATTGAAGGCGAATGATCCACCAGGAGCTGGAGTAGAATACTTCAAACGAGTACTACGACCATATTTTGTGAAAGGATCCACCAATGTATTCCTGTATAGGTTTATGCAATTCGTACGCTTCAATCGCGGATCAGCCGACATGATGAAGTGGATGACAAGATTTCAGATTTTACTCCAAAGGCTTATGAGCAGTTGGATGGACATGTTGGATCCAGTAACACAAGTACACCCTCAGGTACAAGCACAGATGCAAGCTGATGCAGCGATGACTGGAGTAGCTCCAACAGCAGAAAGAATTGAAGAAATCATGCAGAATGTCAATGGCAGTATGAGAATTCTTCATCAGAACGATTTTCCTTTAGGAGAGAATCTCATTGCCTTACTCATGCTGTCACTTGCGGATTTGTCTCAGGACCAGAGGAACACTTTGACCTCTTTGATGACTCATCGTGGTAGAGTCCTGCAGCAATACACCACAACAGAGTTGAGGACAGTTTTCATTGAGATGTTCTGTACAACAAAGACTTCAGTAGACAATCCTCTGATGCAACCAACAGGTGCTGGAGGTAGAAGATCATTTCTCGTATTAGACGAAGGAGAACTCAATGGTACATATGGCTATTGGGCCGAAGATGAAGAAGATGGAACAGAAGGATTCCTTGATGCCCTGGACGATGTCTTTTGGGTATATGATGAACAGAATTTCTCTTGGCTCCAGAGGAGATTCCAAGGAAGAAGAGCCAGAAAAGGCAAAGGAAAAGGTAGAAGAAAAGGAAAAGGAAAAGGAAGATCAGAGCATTGGATCCGCAGGTTTTCAGAAGCCCGTGTAAAAGCAGATCCTGGTATCAAAGCACCTATTCCCAGAACATTTTACAGTTCATCTGCACATGTCCTCAAGCAGTGTGAAGCTTACTTTGAGAAACTCTGGGAGGAATACTCTACAGAAGACAAAGAAATATACCAGGGATCAAAGCTTGGCGATACATGTTTGTCTACCATTGTTGAATGGGGTCATTCAATGAGTGGAGAGGAATATGCAAATTCCACAGTGAGCACGAAGGAGTTCGTCTGTAAATTTTCAGAGAACTTTGCTTTGATTGACACGGAGGTTATGTGCTCCAGACCCTCTGACGATGACAGTCATGGTCCAATGTTTATTTCACTCAGACCAGCTTCCTTTTCATCTGGAGACAGAAGACTTTATCGCTCGGGCGAGACTCTTCGAGATGCTAACTTGCGGAGGAAGGAGAAACAAAAAGAGAATAAAAGGAAAGGAAGGCCGCCAACTTCTGATCAAGCAGCTCCATCGACTGCAGCGGCATAAAACTCAGAGCGGAGGCTAACTTTTAATGATAGCTAGGAAGTGAAGATACTTCTGATCACAGTTGATACTTTGCTTCCAGGCTTGACTTTAAGTTGCCAGGCTGAAGTTTTAATGAATCCTGGTTTGCAACAAGGAGAAACTTTTTATCAAAGAAGATACTCCTGCATTCCAGGTTTATACGCTTTAGCATGCAGATAAATACAGTTTACTAAACGGTTACTATCTGCAGGTAGGTATGGACAGTTTTTCAGAACTGATGATAACTACCATAGCCGCTCTTTTGAAGTGACCTCTAATGGACAACCATTTATGGTTGATGATTAAGTCATTTCATAAGTTTGCATTTGTAGTGCAAGTTTTGTACATACATTTGCCGGTGTCTCCTTCCTTTTTGTTTTTGATGTCAATGAGAAAGAGTCCTTTTGATGCAGTTTCATTTTTGTGTAAGTCCTGTGTATGGAAGCGGCCGAGACCACTTTTCGAGAAGAACATTCCTCGGACCGAGAGTTGACGCTCCTTGCATTTTGCAAGGCATCTTAATTCATTGCAGTTTGTGCGGTCTTGAAATTTTAGTTTTTCGTTACGCGAGTGTCGTTTACTGCTTTTACAGGTCTCTGTGCAAGAAAGCCGCTTTCCTTTGAATTTATAGTTTCTTTGAAGCTCTGGCTATTTAAGGGCTATTGAGCGCCGGTACATGGTATCTTCGCCGGTGAACGATACAGTCTCCAGCCGAGATACATTGTCTTTGACTTTGTATTTGAGGTGAGTCAGCTATTGCTCCCTCACTGTATTTAGTATACCTAGAGATTACCTTTTCTAAAGTGTGTAATACACTGGAATTGGTAAGTACAGGGCACCGTGGTTTCCTTTTAAGCTTACTAGAGCTTGCTGGACTGTTTTAGCCTTGCGGTAGAAAAATAGTGTGCGACATACGCAATAGGCAGGAGTGGACATGAATTTTGTGCCTGCTGAAATGTAGAGGTCTACTTGTACAGGTTCCACTCCAGTGGCCTATCTAGTGTGTCCATGCTTGACTGCCATAAGGCTCAAGACAAGAGGATAAGACTCTGCGCATAAAAGACACTAGCGGTCTGCACCTCAACCGTGTACGCCCTAGTCACTCTTTCACCCCCTCCCCCCGCCCCCTTCCCATGTGATGAACTAACTACTAGCATTCTGGACATAAGGTGAAGTCATGCGCTTAGCAGTCACAGCAGTACGACGCTGGCCATGAGGTTGCGCAATACAGCACGAACCCTGCGCAATGAGGTCGCGCAATGCGGCTTCGATGCCGCGCGTGCGCACCCGGCAGCCTGACACAGCGCGTGCTGCGTTCACAGACCGTATTGCTCGACACCAACGAGCATCGATGCAACGCAGCCTCTCTGCAAAGCCCTGTGGAGAAACCCCTCGCGTCGCGGAACACCATTCGACTCAGCCTTATACCCTAGCGTGGCGAAATCTCACCGCATCGCGGAGCACACCCACCATAGCGTGACGTCCATCCCTGGCAGTACCGGCCGCACCCCTCCAGCACTATCCTTACAAGGGTTGGTCACTGAGTCATGGCTTCGACGCAACGCGTGCAGGCCTGTAATCCTGACACAGTGCGTGCAGCTGTGGGACCATAGCTGGTATTGCGACTTTTACGCGCGCCTGTTTTCAAACACCTAGACACAAACGAGCGTCGACGCAACGCAGCCTCTCTGCAGAGCCGTGTGGCGCAATCTGACCACAACGGTGTCCCTCTTGAGCCTTCTTGTGCTCTCTGGCTTTGTTGGTTTCATCCATGATTGACCAAGGGGCACGTTCCTGAAACACCGGAGACAGTCCCTCACCAGAAAAGGTCCCGACAGCTACCCGGTCCGTCTCCACCTTTCGTGTTTCCCCGCTCATTGAGCTAGCAGCTAGCACTTGAAGTGCAGCAGTATAGGCGCATTGGTAATTGGACAAATGCCAGTAAGATTCGACATCGCAACGGTTTGCACAGCGATGCACTGCATACAATTTAACATGTATGCACCCTTATACATATATATATATAATCTGCTATAATGTCCCATATGCATTGACATCGCATGATCCCAGTTGAAGAGATTAATCTTTAGACACAACCGACATGAAAGAATCATCCGCCCTGCTTAGAGACAGCAAAGCAATTGGAAAAACATGTCATGAAAGGAAAGGAACGGCAAGGCAAGGGCAAGGGCAAGGGCAAGAGGAGGCAAGGCAAGGCAAGGGAAGGCAAGGCAAGGCAGGAAGAAAGAAAGAAAGAAAGACGCAAACACCAAGTAACCAGGAATACAGTCAGAAAAAGTTGCTATATAAATCTCTAGGCTCAAGCTCTTGAGTTGTCAGGTCGATCGAGATGGCACTGGCGAAGCATCCGCAGAACATTTTGACAGCGCGGTCTATCGCTTGCAGGCCTGGACATTGAGGCAACTCTATGTTCTGCAGGGGAGTGAAGCACCAAGTTTCAGTGAGGTTCCAGACCCCCCCAAAACTACCATCTCAGACTAGTAGTCCGCAGAGGCAGTGTTGCATGATTTGGACCCTCCTGAAAAAACTGTGTGTGTGTGTGGCATTGCCGGTGCTGTTCCTTTTGGGGCTCCAGGTAGACACTTGGCCTGACCTTGACGAAGAAGGCGCTGTAGCAGAGCTACGGGCGTTTTGCTTGTTACTGGCGTTGTCCAGCTTTGTCCTGCATTACGCTCTCAAAAAAGAGAGCAAAAGTGCTTCTCTTTAGCATGGGATTATATATATATATAATACTGTATATGCACGCCTAGCATTTCAGAGGCATTTCGAGGGTGATCCAGATCCTAAATCTGGCAGCGGAGAAGTGCAACGCTCAGAGATGAAATTGGCTCAATCTTTCTTCCCTGATCTGTGTCCAAAGTTATTGCATGGTTTTGCACTTTGAAAGTGCTCAGGATCAAAGAGGCTTGATTTCTCCGTGCATACAATAGAAGCACACAGATTATATCAGATGATTTTGCAACGCCTCAGGCGAGGCTGTCAAACTGCCTGACAAATCTAACTGCCTAGCACTTCCAGTGTCGAATGCCCCAGACAAAACTAGGGTTTTAATCACCTTTGGTATTTGATATGTAACGTCCATTTTGATTTTTGTGCTAAGGACGCTACTAGGGGCTCCTGGCCTTACTACTAGGAGCAAGAGCACGCTACTAGGAACAAAGGGCATCGCTACGAACGGAGCGATCGGACGCTACTAGGGGCAATTGAGGTGGCACCGTGCAGCTGGAAATTGGTACAAGGTCTTCCTTGCGCAGAGCTGAGGTGTAGACACCTCTAAGTCAGACGGTCATGGTCCAAAAGAGTGCCTTTCGATAAGACTTGGTACGAAACCGCCGTGCAGAAGCCATTTGGGTATGTTTAGTAGTTAACATGTTTTTACTAGCATGTTGTTATGTAATACAATGTATGTTCATATAATCCGAAAAGCCATAACTTCAGGCCTGCGATGAGGATGGCTCTGGCAGCATGACCTTTGATGAGATGCTGGGAGTCTTTCGCAAGCCCGCCGCTAAAGCAATTGAATCTCAACCGTTTTGTCGGACAACACATGTGGTCAATGTAAACAAATGTAATTAAACACTAGTGAGGCTTTGTTTGGGTCTTGGATGACTTCGATGTGACTCCACAACACAGAAGAGAAAGCTTTCCGGTTTGCAAGAATGTGTTGCTTTTGCGCAACTTGCAGGGGCTTTCCTGGCCTCTCCATTTCACCGCAAAAGTTGCCTGAGCAGGACCAGTACACTGGGCCAGTGGGCCACTTTCCCATCACAAGTTGTGTTCTATATGTTTGTGGTCAGACTAGCTTCGGAGCGCTCAGAATGTGCAGCTATGGGTTGGCCACCCCCCTTCTTACCTTACCATCATAAAATGGCCACAAAAGGTTCGTCTTGCCTGCCCACAATCCACTTTCACCTGAGAATGAGAAGGTGTCAATCCGACGGAAATTTTTGGAGGGCCCACGGCGGCCCACGTCCTTGTTTCGATGCGCCAGTTGAAGCCGAAAAACCCAGGAGTTGCGAGGCTTTTGGCGCGCCCTCGACGCTCACCGCTCTGGACGCGTAGAGGCGTGGACACGTGGGATGGTGGACTTCTCTTGAAGTTGAACAAGGTTCCTTATCTGGCGGGGGCATGTGCCACCACAGGAACCTTTCAGGAGGAAATATTGCTTTGTTTGGAAAAGCCTTGTAGCGCAATTGGGGTCTAAAAGAGGTTCAGGCTTGTTCTGTCTAGCCCATGAGAAGGGAGCACGGTTGTCACACCCGATGTTTGTCAGGTGTATGACTTCATGATCTTCATGCGGTCCCTTGGCATTCCCTTGATAAGTCACAGTCCATGATCACGATTTATCGCAGTGCCTTTTTGTCAGCCACCAGCAATTTCCTTTTCACTTTGTCAAGCTCACACTTTGTGAGTGTTTCACAAAAGGATTGGCCCATGCCTTCCTTGCACGTGTTGTTCCCAGGAAGTACGGCGCGCAGTACTCCATGCCAGACTCTCAGTTTTTTTTGCTTGGATATGTCATGTATATATATATATAAATAATCTACTGCTACATGTAAGTGGAAACATCCCCCAGCCCCATGGCCACAAAACCTGAGCAGCAGAATGCCTAACAATGGTGTTGTGAAACTCCGGATGCCCTTCCCTGGACAGGATTCCTGATTTGATGTCAATCGCAGGACCTCTCTTGCTGCAGGATGTGTCTTTCTGGCGACAATAAAATAGTACAAGTCCAGTGGCAAGTTTTGGCCATGTGGCTAGTTTGCTGGTCAGGTGTGTGAGGTTTCCTTTGTCCATTGTGCAGGCACAAAACACCAAGAGGAAGAAGAAGTGAGGCGATCCAGGACTTCATGATCGTATCATGGAGTGAAACCTGGCAACCCCCAACACTCCACAACATACCCAACATCCGTCATTTGTCCTACATCCCTTCCTGTCAGACCATTTGCAGGGCTTTCTTTCCAGAAGCATTGCGCAAAAGATGTCTTCACCAATGCTAGGACTATGGGCATCCAGCCGAAAGAACCGATGACGAGCCGGGAACCTCGGAAGATGTTTTGGATCCCGTTCACTTCGAAATGCCGCAGACCGCGCGCACCGATCCGCAGACCGATCGCCTCATTGAAGGATCCGATGTAAAATGGCTTCGTCCTAGCTCGTGTTTTGCAATTTGGCAGAGCTGAGCAGATGCTGCTTTTTCGGTTTGCTGTCTCAGACGTGTGGAAATCCAAGGCTGCGACATACAGCTCAAGTGCTGGATGACTCCCTTACTGCCTTCTGCTTAGATCTCATGAGTCTTGTGACTAGATGACCCTTTGCCGGGCTTGCCAGCGGGCAGCAGGACGGTCTGTGGAATAACATGTGAGCTGTGGCCTTTTGCTAAGGCCTATTGGAATCGCTGCGGTGTGCATGTTCGTTCCGGGGACAAGTGGCAGAGGCAACTTGTTGTGGCAATGTCGGGCACAATCAAGTTGCGCTTTTTTTTCCATTTTGTTTCAACCTATATAAAATCCTAGTAACCATCCATGAGCTGAAGGCTCTCGATGTGGCAAGCCAAAAGAAGTATACAAAATGTGTCCTTTCCTTTCCTGATCTTTGCCCTCAGAAGTTTCCTAGATATTTGTGCAGAAGAATGAACAACAAGTCATTTGTTGGTTGATGTTGGTTGATTCTTTCGATCGCCCAAACGGTCCTTCAACTCTGTTAAGTGATTCTTTCGTCTCCACACGCGAAGTGCGGCAGGTTTCTTGACGAGGCTGATCTAAACAAGGATGGACTGGTGACATTTCACGAGCAAGGCTCTCAGAAAACCAAGTGGTGCTGTGGATTCTGCGGAAGCCTTGCTCCTTGTGTTCAACCAAACAGCCATGGCGACTAGTAAGGATTTGAACGGCAGAGAACAGTAATACGGGCTCCTGGCATCGCTACTAGGAGCAAGGACGCTACTAGGGGCTCCTGGCCGTACTACTAGGAGCAAGTAGCTACTAGCAACAAGAAGCTACTAGGGGCTCCTGGCCGTACTACTAGGAGCAAGAAGCTACTAGTAACAAGTGCATCGCTTCTAGTAACAAGTGCCTTACTAGTAGTAACAATAAAGCTACTAGTAACAAGAAGCTACGAACGGGGCCCTTCGGTTCTGGACTTCGGCTCCGGGCACCTGACAGGGCACCTGACAGAATTCGTGCTATATTGAAGATGAGAACGGGAGGGCCGAGGGCAGAATTGCATAGTTGCAAGGGTGTGGTCTTCCGGGCAAGGTTCGGTTCAATTCTTTTGTTCACCAAATGAGGGAAACTTGAAGAGCCTTAGAGGGGGGGTGATTGTGTGCAAAAGGTTGATGGTGTGAAATCGTTTGGATTGAAGGTGTGAGTCATAGTCAGCAGAGTTTAACTTGCATTCACCGATTCGCCGCGCTTCACTTCAAACAGTTTATTCGCAGGAGGTCAGACTCTTTAAAGCTTTTTCTGGTGAGGGCACCCACGGACTCTGCAGTGAAGTGATTTTGTTGCAGATCCAGGTTACTTTTGCTTTCTGCGTCTTGTGTTGTTTTGCTGACAGACTGCTCAGCTGGCTGAGCTTCGTGGGTGCCTCTTTGCCCTTGTAATCGATCAAATTGTAAGAAGCCCTGCCGACTGTGTAGCTTTTCATCGATGGCTACCATTCCCATGGCTTCCATGCAGCCACCAGGCACCAAGGCAAGGAAAAGCCATTGAAAGCACGACCAAAGCCAACGGTGATGGGTTGGTATCCTGTGGTATTATCCATGCAGTCCATGACAGCATCCAGGCATATGTGTCTTGTGTGCCGTAATTATATTTTACTAGCCAGCCTGTATGATGTTTGATGACGATTGCTTTGCTTTGAAAACACTTGTGGCTTTCAAAGCCTTCAACCTGGTTGATTGTGACTGTAGCAGCAATTGCGTTGATTTCGACGGCTCAGTGACTCAGACGCAGGTGAACTTCCAAGCGTCGGTCCGTGGTCCGCCGCAACCTGCGGCAAAGAGGCAGCATGTTGGGCATTTGTGTTTGTTTGCCGGGCTTCGTTGCATTTGCTGAAGTCATGGAGTGGTGCTATCGGGTTGGTGGAGTACCCCTGCCTTTGTTGCTTGAGAAATCTTATTCATTTTGATGAGACGAGACGGCTGAGCCGAAAACTGATCGTGTTTTGCTCAAATGCATTTCGAAACGGGGAAGGGATGCTCTTGCGCTGGGGGCCAGCAACAGGTGAGCTCAGTTGGCACACCGATAACCAACTCCGACACTGGGGTTGAGGGTGCATGAATGAAGGCGGAAACTGCCAACTTCCTGTGAGATTTGAAGAAGTTGCAATTCAGCTGCGCAAACACTGCACGACGTTTGATTGTAGGAGCCCAAACTTGCTTTTTTTGAAGTTTTTTGTTTGCTATGTGATAATCCCCAGAAGTGAACCAAGCTGTTTGACAGGGCTTACAGACATACATACAGGCTTCAATTGAAGTCTCCATAACATCTAGGCACCAGCCTTGGTCCACAAAGAAACCTAACCACACAAGCAAAAGCAGCTCAGCGTTCGACTGACTGACTCCAGCTGGGGTCAGTCATCGATCACCTAAACTCCGCCACATGTATGAGAGCCAAGAACTGAAGGGCTTTGGGCCGCTGAGCAGAAGGGACTTGCTGCCTCTGGTGGAGAGTGCATTCTGTGTGCAGGATGGCTGCTCTTGGGTTTTCCACACCAGCAGCTTTTGCTGCGACGATCGGATGCGCAGCAGGCCAGGCGACCCAAAGTTGGGGAACGAGAGGGCGCTTTCCACAATCGCGATTTCAGCGGTCACGGTGTCAAGCCCTCAGAGTCATTTTTGGAGGCTGCCCTTGTCACAACTATCAACTATCGGAACTATCCGACGGCAGCTCCAGTGGTTTTCCCGTTTTTCTCCGCTGTGGAACCTTCATTTTGGGGTGTGCGTTATTGCACCGGCTGCACTATGACCCTGCGTCATTCTTCGCTCCCAGCATGTAGAAACTGTAGAAACTATATATATATATATAAGATGAAATCCCTCAGCTAAAACAACCACAAGATGAACTGAGCTTTGAGTGAGGCTTGCATGCTTACATGTATAGTTGATAGGAGGAATCTAGGATCACTTGTCCAAGATTGGAATTGTCATGTAAAGAATTGCATAATCTGAAATCGGTATGCTAAAGTAGCATTGCCGTGTGAACTGTGTGACTGTTCGCCAACTACGTTTGGCTCAAGACTTTGGAAAATGGGCTGCTGACGCGACCGGATACGATCGTTCGCGTTTTGAGTCGGCCTACCAAGAGATAGACCAAGGTTTTAGCTTTCAACTGGTTATCAGCCGCAAGAGCTACAAGGAGACCATTGGTTGAAAAACGAGACCATACACAAGGATCAAGACAAGCTTTTCAAACGAAACACCTACGTTGTGTTGAAACTCACTTGTTGCCTCGCGCTTCCGAGCGCGATCCATGCCCCCGCGTGAGCGCGAACGTGAGCGCTCACGAAGAAGACGTGGACCTCGAGGCGGAGATCCAAACCGTCCGAGTCAACTGTCAAGAAGGGAACGCGGTCTCCCAACAGAAGACCGCACCAGAGAAGCAGACAGAGATACTCGACATCGTGACCGTCGTGTTGAGCGTGGTCGTGACCGCGAGCGATCACGCTCGCGAGAGCAAAGATTGGCCGCGTTCTGCGCGCGAGAGGGAAGAGCAGCCGAGAAGGGAGGTGTATCGGGCTTTGAGCCCGAGACAACCCAGGTTCCCACCTCCTGGCTTACAGAGACCTGGGAGACAAGACGCCCGCCGAGGCCGGCGTCGGAAACGGAAGAGGAGTCGCCACCCAGAGATCCACGAAGGTCAAGTCGTGTTGAGAGATCAAGAACTCCTACAGAGCGTGTTGAGAGGTCAAGATCGAGGCCGCAGCAGCGTGGGAGTTGGAAGAAGTGTTGGGTGTGGGTCCCAGAGGGCGGTTTGAGCCCGGTGAGGGACGAGAGTGTGGAGCGTGAGGAGGACTCGCGTGACGACATCCCCGAGGAGGAGGTTGAACTCGAGGGTGAAAGCGTTGATACGGTGACAGGTGAACCCCGTGTGCATCTTGAAGAGGCCGTTGAAGCTGCTCCGGAAGTCCCTGGCTGTTCACCTGAAGTTGCGTCGGGTGTTGACTTTTCGGCGACCGAAGATTCGATCGCGAGGCAGGCTACAGAAGCTGCTACTGAACGGTCTGCATCAGTTGAGCCTGAAAACCTTCGAGAACGTGCACGTGAGCTTCGCTCGAGGGTGGCCCGACCTACAGCCAGCAAACCATCATCGCCATCAGTCAGTGAAGAGCCGGTTGAGGAGAGACCGCCCGCTGAGAAGAGGGTCAAACCACCTCCAAAGGCCACATCGGCCAAGGCCAAGACAAAGAGAGAGCCGAGTGAAGCTGGTGGCATTGTGCGTGAAGTTGGTGTTGGTGAACCGTCGCGTGCGCGCGAGGGCGAGACATCGTCGGCCTCTGGACTCCGACGGGGGTTGGAAGACATCCCAACTCCGCCTCCGCCTCCGACCAAAGAAGAGATTGAGCAGGCAGAAGCTGTAAGGCAACGGGAACTGCAGAGTTTGCCGGCCGGCGACTACAAGGGCCGCGTCGAAGCCGCGTTTGACGGAAGAGATTCAACCTGTTGTCTTAGCGATGTTTAGAGGTTTCCTGGTTGCCCTTCTGGTGTTTTTTGGGGGCTTTTGTTATTGAGGCGGTTGTTTTCTTAAATGGACGACGATTTGTTCGCACAAGTGAGTGGGAAGTGGGTAAGCACGAATGGGGGAGCTCTCTGCAATGCTCTACACATTTGCAAAAGAATCAGCCGCCCTTGTTTTCTTCTGGTCAAAACTATTGGTCAACAGTCTTGCTTGCCAGCTTGGCGTGGCTCATTGAAACAATGGAAGGAGTTTTTCAAGTATATCGCAATAGTATAAGCCTTTAACACAACCGAACGCTCAAGCCACACACTCCTGCGCCCGAACCCTTAAGCTAGCTCAGCTTTCAGGACAGTTCTCATGCCTGTGCCAAGCAGCTTGTAGCTCCTCGAAATTGTTGATGCAGCCTTCCACGTATGGCCTACTGTCTTCCACAGAAGACCCTTGCCCCGCAAAGGATCCAGCATCCTGAGATACCCGGTGAGACGCCTGACTTCCTTGCAATGCTTGCAAGGCGTCTTTCAGCTTTAATCCCAAGACTTGCTTTGCCGTGTGAACATTGTCTGACATCTCACGAAGGGAGCTTAGCACCTGCTGCAAGTCGCGCCCGCCAAGAACGGGTCCAAGATCAGGGTTGTCAGTCACAATGTCATCCAAATTGTCAACTGCTATGACAGCTTCTTGAAAATAGCAGCGCAGCTGCACCTGTCGCTCATAGTCCCGCACAGCATCATGCGGCGCTGCTCTCGCCATATTTTTGAGCGGTAGGAACTTGAAGCTGCAAATAGCTGCAGCATCTAGTCATCCAACCCTCCCACTAGATGAAACCTTGAACCATTGACCCCCAAAAAAACAAATCAGGAAATACAGGGCAACCAGGAAACCACTAAACATCAGCAAGTATTGTGCTTGCTCCACGGCCGAAGGAAAGGCCTCAGCCTGCCGCACCGGCTGAGCCGTCGACTTCCGTACGACCGGCAGAGCCTGCGCGTCCTCCGTCGAGCGTGTGGCAAGACAAGCCGTTGATCCTTCTCGATTGGCACAAGACCTTGAGCTTTCCTCACCAGCCTGTTCACGAGAGCGCGATTCAGCTTCTCCGTCGGTGCCAGTCAGAGGGCTACGCAGTGGGCGTGTTGAGCTTTGCGTGGGCAAGGGAGACGCAGGAATCGGTGCTGGCAGGTGTGGAGGGAGTCAACGCCAGGCTGGATCGGCCGTTCGACGTGGTTGCAGTGACTCGTGCAAAGTTCATCAAAGACCACATCCAGAGTCCGTCCATCACTGGCCACAGCGGCCCCAAGGCCCAGCTCGTCACAGAACTAGGTGCATTGGTGTTTGTCGACGACCAGGGTGCGCTGTTGGCTGACGTCCGGAGTTGGCAGCGCGATTTACCTCAGGGAGGTCGAACACACTTGATTAAGTCGGGGGTCACTCCGGCTGAGGCTCTTGTGCCGCTTGAGCGAGTCCTGCGGGAGTTCCCAACAGCGGGAGAGCTACCGAGCGCAAGGGAGCTCGGGAGGATCCTGAGCCGGTGATCGAAGACAAGGCCAGCCAGTGTCGTGCGATTGCATCTTGCATTGTGTTGAACAGGCATTGGTTGGCTGAGCATTGCAACATTGGTCAATAAATCTGTCGGCTAGAAGCCAGGTGTCGGGTTGAGACTGCCGTTGCATCATTGAGACATTGTGCAAGTCGTTTGTTGTGCATTGAGCATTCACAGTTGCTGCAATAAACCTGTCGGCCGAAGAGCCACGTGGCAAGTTGAGCAAGCGGCGAACATTGTGCGTCTTGTTGTGTGTGGTACATTGTTTGTGATGTTGGTTGAACATTGGTTGATTCGTGGTACTTTGTTGAAACACATTGCCTCCGCGATCTGTCGCGATCTTCGCGACGGTCGCGACTTGTCTTCGCGGGTTCACCGCGACCACTGCAAAACTCGCAGCCCTAGGCGCGTGGCAGACAACCGCGACACCCGATCGCGCGCCGTGCAGTGTAAAAGGGGAGGATTGAGCCTTCCGAGAAGTGCCAAGAGTCTGTTGTTGTAGAGTGCTTGTTTGCTGATAATCCTTCATTACAAAGACTACCCACTCAAGACTTGTGTTTCTTGGAGTCACTGATCCTAGTTAAGTCGAGTTGAGCTGTGTCGTATTGAGTCGGTTGATTGAGTTGAGAGACATTGCATTGCACCGTCGATGTCAAAACGGTCGCTTCCTGCAACACCCTTTCGTGTCATCGGTCCTGAAGGCTCCTACGAAACCTCGAGTTCATCCATCTCTCCGGAGACTGGGCTTGCGAGGATGGAGGGTGAAACTGGGACTGATGCCGGAGCCGGGCTCCAAGTGAGCGTACCAGCTAAGGGAAACACAAAAGTTGCAGTGAGTCGCATGAGAACTCAAGGTTCTGAACCTTCCCAACCTTCTGGGGTGCAAGGTGATCCGTCGGCCGTTCCTGGGGTGCATGTTTATGACCAGAGGACCCTCAATCATCTACAAGTACTCAACCAGCACAACATTGACCCGGAGACACTTGAAAGAATCGTTCAGGGTTACGTTCAATCGCAGTTGAGCCATGCAGAACAGGTGATACAGCATGAACGACAACAACATCAACTTGAGCAGCAGAATGCAGCATTACAGTTGAGCCTCGAACATCAACAGATGAACCAACACATACAACAGCAAGAAGCCAGCATGGCACAACAAGCACATAGCAGAATCAACCAGATCACAACAGAGGCACAAGCAGAAATCCTCAGGCATCAGCAAGTAGCAGAACAAGCCCAACGCGAGATACAACGCGTGACAGCTGCAGCTGAAGCCAGATGCCAAGACCTTGCGCGTGAGAACGAAGCCCTTCGAGCTTCGCCTGTTGCAGGTTACTTTGATGCGTGTCCGTCGGAAGCCGGGAGAGCACCATCGGTTGCTTCAGCCTCACCGTTGAACGTTGTTTACTGCCATGTGTGTGGAAACCAAAACGTTGTTGGACGAGGTTGGTGTTGGAACTGTAAAAGTAGTCTTGAAGAGCCCGAGAATGGTACGGACCCTTTTGAACCACCATCTCATGAGGTATATGTACCCAG